TAAAAGTGAAGGGCGAGGTTCAAAGGCCGTAAAACTTAAATTACTCACTTAAAATGCTTTTGAAAAAATTTACGTGGTATAATTAGGTCAATTAAACCCTCCTGAAATAAGTATTCAATTTCTTGTGAACCTTGGAGTATTATTTGCTTTTTAACCCAAACTGGAGAAATGCTAGGATATCCTTAATAAGAAATAACAATCCTCTAAATGCACTTAAAACTTTGTAAAATCTTCACTTGAGGAGTTACAAGAAAGCACAACTTTTTGGGTATCACATTTAATTAAATCCTAATAATTAAAATATTGAATCAACCAAACGAGAGCAAAATATAAATCCATAATTATAGTATACCTATCATTGATACAACCTCGAAACATAAAAAATATTGTAGCAACAAATTGACTTGTTAAATCATGCACAACAATTCATGCTCCACTGCAGCCCGAAATATGGTAAGACAACTGCATCTATACGGTATGTTCATATCCCAGGTGAGACTTAGACCAAGACGAGGTTACAACCCGGGTGGAAGCACTTACTAGACCTCCTAATTGCTTTCCAGTCATGAAATTCTCCAATTCGCTTAAAAATTAGAGTTTCATACAGCACATAAGTAGGAGAAAGGACTTTACCATTTCACATAAATTCATTTATCATGCCCTAAATTTTTCAAAGGACTGCACATGTTTGTCTAGCCTTCAAAGAATCTGAGTCATTAATAACACAGCTAAGGAGCTCTTCTATACTAACTCCTTCCACATCCAGTTTATATTGCCATACCACCCAAACATTTTTCGCCTTCTCGCAATCAAAGTATACATATTCACTATTTTTCAACACAAAAATGACATACCGCTTGAAAATTAATGCCCTAGCTAGTAAATTTGATTTAGTAGGTAGAATATTTTGAGCTAAGCTCAAAATAAATTCTTAATTTTAGAGGTAACTTCAAGTGCCAAAGCTTCTTCCCGTCGACAAATTTCCCATAAAAGTCCAAAGCTTGATAGAGATAGAGTAACAAAGTTGATAACCTAATTTAACCATATATCAAATTCTTTTGTGAAATATCAAATTATTACATTAATCGAAAGAATACGAGTTATTTTTGCTTCCTCTTCATTAAAGATATAGAAAATTTTATTTTTATTTCACCTTCTCTCGTCTTCACAAAAACGGATTTTTAACTTGCATATCTTGAGCTTCCACATATAAATAATTTTTGAAAAAAAATTATTTTTTACAAGCAGCCATAAATCATTACCAATACTATATTTTTTTAACTATTCTCCACTTTCTACCTGATACTGTTTTGTAATAAATATAATATGTATTTTCACACTAACTGTAACCTAATTGGACCGATAAAAAATCCATGAATAAAAATATTTAGCTTTGAAGACATGATAAAGAAGAGGGTTTGGATCAGCGAAAAATCTCCAACCCTACTTCTCATGTCTGTCTAGCCTTTAGAGAATCTCAATCATTAATAACACAACTAATGAACTCTCCAATACTAATGCCTTTCACATCCAGTTCATACTGCCACTCCACCCATACTTCTCTCGCCTTCTCTTAATCAAGGAATATATGTTTATTGTTTTTGACTGAGCCACAAAAAGTGACGCCTAGATTGAAAATTAACGTCTCTAGCTAGTAAATTTAATTTAATAGGCAAAATATTTCGAGTTAACCTCCAAATTAAATCCTTAATTTTTTGAGGTAACTTGAAGTGCCAAAGATTCTTGCAGGCAATAAATTCCCCATGAAAATCCAAAGCTTTGATAACCTGATTTAAACATATAAGATCCATTGTTTGTGAAATGTCAAATCATCACACTAATCGGAATCCTGCAAATTATTTTTGCTTCCTCTTCTTTAAAGATATAGAAAATTTTATTTTCATCCCACATTCTCCCATCTTCATAAAACAAATCTTTAACTCGGCATATCTTGAGATTTTCCAGATAAATGACTTTTGATTAAAAAAATGTTTTTCTACAGATAGCCAAGGGTCATTACCAGCACTAACTTTTTAAAAATACTACTTTTCACTTTTCACCTGGTGCCATTTTGCAATAACTCACTAGAATATAATATGCTATTTCACACGTAACTATAATTGTGACCTAATTGGGCTGATAAAAAGGCCCCGAATAAAATATTTAGCTTTAAAAACTTGACAAAGAAAAGCATTTGGGTCAGTAAAAATATCTCTAACCCTGCTTCTCAATCATGAGTATTAAAACATTACAAGTTACAATAAATAATACTTCAAATCTCTTTTTTTTCCTTTCGCAAAGACGCTGCCACAAAATTCGTTTGTCCCAATATTTGAACTCCACCAGAATTAGTTCATCATTTTCTATAGGTCACTACATAAAGAGTGCGAAATAAGGAACACAATCATATAGTATAAAGGGATAATTTGAGCCACTGGCTTAATCAAAATCCCCTTTCCTGCTCTAGATAAAAAGTAATCCCCAACCAAAAAGCTTGTTTCGCACCTTATCTTTAAGAAAATTAAAAATTTGAGTCTTATTCCTACCAATGGGGTTATCCTCGGGAAAAACTCCGCACTTGTTAAAATTTACTGCTTGACCCTAAGCTTTCTCATAAATAGATAAAATATTTTTAGTATTATCACATTCAATGTTTACAGCATAGGATCAGAAAAGAATTATCTGCAAACAGAAGATGTGATATACTAGGAGCTCTTCTACAGATTCGACTATCATGAATATCATTTGAACTTTATGCATAACAGAATAAAGCAGACAATCCTTTCGTATAACAAATAAATAGGTAAGAAGATATCAGATCACTTTACCTACGGCCTCTCCCTGATACAATCAGCCTCATCTCCTCCCTATTAATTTTTTTTTTCATAACTCATAAGTTCACACATACATTATAATAAGGTCAACAAAATTCGGATCAAAATTCAACTTCAGCTTAATAGCTTTAAGAAATCTCAAGTTTATTACATTATAAACCTTGTTGATATCAATTTTCAGAGCCATCTCACCCTTGCCACCTCGCCTCTTACATCTCATGTAATAAATTACTTCAAAAACTATTAACACATTGTCAGTAATCAACCGTCCAAGCACAAAAGCTGACTGAGCTGGCGAGACAATTATTTGCAACAGAGACTTCAGCCTATTAGCAAGTATTTTAACAATAATTTTATATAAAATATTGCATAAAGAAATAGGGCACAAGTCTTTAAGAGTAGAAGAATCCTACTTTTTTTGTATAAGAACGATAATATCTTCACCTAATGAGGTAGGAAAAGATGTATTTGTAACCAGTACATGCAAGCCACCGCAATCTCATGTCCAATCAGATACCAAATTTTCCTAAAAAGGCAAGATTCATACCCTGGTGACTTAATCTAAAATACAGCTTTGCGAAACTCCTCATCAAAAAATATAGTCAACAACAAATTGTTATCATCACCTGAAATCCTTCTATTCACTCTGCTAATTACTGGTGTATAATCCCTAGAGCTGGGCTTACATAGATTAGAGTAATAATTGGCAATCAACGCATGAATATAATATTTCTAAGTTACTAGTGTCCGCCTTCATCTTTTAATGCCTCATTTAAAATCTCCTCACATGCTCTGATGCTTGGGTATGAGAAAATTTGGTGTTCTCATCACCAAATTGTAGCAAGTTATTTTTAGCTTTCTGCTTTAAAAGAAAATTTTTCTTGTAGCAAGACATCATTAAACACATTCTTCAGTTTACTAACCACTTCAGCACTATTCGAGTTACACCTTCTGCGAATAATCTTAAGTTGTTCATAAAATTCATTCAATTTTATTTTTTAAATCATCCTTCATCCCTTTGCTCCAATCCGAAAGGACCCGAACATAATTAGAGACTTTATCAATAAGTGAAGAAGAAGGGTCAAACTGTTTGTCACTACCTGCGTAATATTATAATATTAGAATGTATAATCCATGAGATCCCAAATCGAAATTTGAATTATCTCTTAGAAAATTATTTTGGTCCATATAGAGCATGATTGGAAAATGATCGGAATGAGTGAAAACTAAATTAAATAATTTGCAGGAAGAAAATGGTTCAATCAACTACTATTCACAACACACAAATCAAGTCGCTCTTAAACCCATAGCATACCCACGACCTCTCTCTCAAGTAAATCAATGACTACTAATAGAAAAATCATGAAGATCACAAGTACTCAGAATATCTCGAAATTTATTAATTAAATTTTGAGGATGAACCATACCCTCTTTATAACTAACAATAAAAATATCACTAAAGTCTACTGCACAACATCATGGTTGCGGACAAATAGAAGACAAATGAGTCGAAATATTCCTAGAGTCTATTCTTCTATGTCGTTTAGGAAGACAGTAGAAACCCGTTAATCTCTACTATTCTCGATCATAGGATTCTCGATCATAGGAGAAATAATAAAATTTATAAAATTATTAGAATAATTTTTTATACTCACAAGATTATTATTATTATTCCAAAATACAGCCAAACTACCACCTTATAATTTTATTTACAACAAAAGAATAAGTAATACCAATTTTATTGTGAACATCCTATCTTCAATTTTATAACATTGTAGGAAATGACATTACATAACTAAAGACAAAGGGTAGCTTAGTCAATACACAAGAAGTAGTTAGAATTAGTTAGTTTGCTAGAAGGTAGTTAAGCCTGATTAGTTAGTTTAATATTAGCTAAACTAGTCTATAAATACACGAGTCTTGCAACTCATTTCTCGTCACTTTGAATAATGAAATAACAAATGCTTCTTCCTCCTCTATCTCTGCTTCTTCTCCTCTCTTTTGCAACTCTTCTTGTCATTCTCTTCTTATTTTTGTGTAATTGATTCAATAATCACATGGTATCAGAGCTTACGAGCTATAATCATTAGCTTAGTGTTCGATCTTGATCTTTTCCGCAAAAATAATTGCCTCTGTAAAACAGTAACCTAAATCTCTAAGTCATCAATGGCGATTGAAGATGTGACTACACTAGACGCGAGCCAAACTGCACATGCAACAGGTGGAACTCAGGGATTCAATGGAAATCAAGTTCCAGGAATCGACTACAATCACCCACTGTTCTTGTTGCCGGCAGACGTGAGTGGAATCCAAATTATATCTTTTCAATTGACAGGTATTGAAAATTATTCTCTATGGTATCGTTCTATGAGAGTAGCTCTACTGGGCAGGAACAAATTGTGGCTAGTTGATGTGTCTTGTTCCAAAGAAAAATTCCCAGAATGTGTTTGGAATCACTGGGAAAGAGTCAATGCTATAGTGTTATCTTGGATTATGAACTCTGTCTCAAGTGGTCTTCTTGGTAGAATAATGTATGCATCTAGTGCTCAAGCTGTGTGGAGCGATTTGCATGAGAGGTTTAACAAGGTAGATGGTTCAAGATCTTTCAATTTGCACAAAGAAATTGCTACATTGAGTCAAGGAACAACTTCTGTTTCTGTATATTTCTCAAAACTCAAGGAACTGTGGGAAGAATTTGAAGCTCTTGTTCCGGCTCCTGGATATGATTGTGCAAAATCCAAGGAATTTGTAGCACATCTACAGAAATTGAAGTTGTTTCAATTCTTTATGGGGTTGAATGAATCATACAGTCAAGCTAGGAGTCAAATCTTGATGATGAGTCATACACCAACAGTTAATCAAGCCTATGGTCTAATCATCAGTGATGAAGGACAAAGATTTGTGGCAGCATCATCAGGATTATTGGGTGCAACTCTAGCAATGGCTGCAAATCACTATGATGTGGCTATGTATACAAGAACAGTTCATGGAGGAAATCAGAGGTTCAAGAAAAATTTTAATCTTCAATGTGATTTTTGCAAAATGGAAGGGCATAGCAAAGAAAACTGCTATAAAATTGTTGGATATCCTCCGGAGTACAAGAATAGGAAGAAAGGGGGAGTCGGAGTTGGAAATGTTGGAAATGCAGCATACAATGTAATGACAGAAAATAATGTCCAATTCAGAAATTCAAATTACAATGGGACTGCTGAGGGAAATTCTCAAAATGGTCAAGTTCAAGTTGCAGGGAATGCAGTCAATCAAAGCTCCATGTATAATAATACAGATTCAGGAAAACACAACTATAATATGAGTCAAGGGTCTACTATCACTCAACTAAATGTGCCCAGGCTGCCTCAAATAACCAACTGCACTTTTTCAAAGGAGCAATATGAGCAAATTCTGAATAAGTTCACAAGTGTTATTGTGTCTGAGAACTCTACAGCTAATGCACCAGGTATTAGTATTGCTTGCTTAGCTTCCTCTAGTTCTCAAGAGTGGATAATTTATACTGGGGCTACAAATCATATGGTAGCTGACTTAAGTATGTTGAATCAGAACTCTGTGGTTCAACCAGAATGTCCGAAGAAAGTGTTCCTACCTAATGGAGATATAACTCATGTGTCTCATACTGGTTCTAGTAACATTACAAACAGCATTACTATAACAAATGTGTTTCATATACCACAATTTAAGTATAATTTACTATCTGTCTCTAAGGTCACCAATGAGTTAAAATGCTCAGTAGCCTTTTTTCTTGATTTTTGTATCTATCAGGATCTCTTCAATGGGCAGGTGAGAGCGATTGGTAGAGAAGATAGTGGATCATACATTCTTAGTGGAAATGTACAACCAGCTAGATACAGTAATGTAGTCTCATTAGCAGCAAAGGAAACACCAGTGATCATTGAACTCAAGACAAATAAAGACATAGATCTGTGGCATAAAAGATGTGGACATGTATCAGCCTTAGTATTCAAAAAATTACTATCATCTGTAAAGACTGAACTAGTAACTGAGAAGTAGATAAATGTACAATATGTCCATGTGCAAAACAAACAAGAATTCCTTTTTCAATCAGTAATACAAAAATTGTTGTTTGTTTTGAATTAGTTCATGTTGATCTATGGGGGCCTTACAAGGTATCTACAGTTGATGGAAACAAATACTTCTTAACAATAGTGGATGACTACTCTAGGTTTACTTGGATATTTCTGCTGAAACTAAAGTCAGATGTGAGCATTGTGCTACAAAAGTTCATCTCCTTAGTTAAAACTCAGTTTGACAAGTTAATCAAAGTAATCAGAACAGACAACGGTATTGAGTTTGTAAACTCAATGTGTGAAAATATGTTCAGTAACCTAGGGATTATACACCAAAAGTCTTGTGCTTATACACCTCAGCAAATGGAGTTGCTGAGAGGAAACACAGACACATCCTAGAGATCACAAGAGTAATCAGATTTCAAGCAAATATTCGAATCAAGTTGTGGGGTTATTGTGTGTCAAGTGCAGTATACTTAATCAACAGATTACCAAGTGTAGTTATATACAATTAGACACCTTATGAGAGACTCTTTGGTAAGAAGTTTAATCTAAATCATCTTAGAGTACTGGGGTGTTTGGCTTCTACAAATATAATTCAGCAGCATGACAAATTAATGCCTAGATCCAAATTGACAGTTCACATGAGATACTCGACTGGAAAAAAAAGGATACTTGCTATATGATTTAGAAAACAAGTCTTTTCTTGTAAGTAGAGATGTCAGCTTCAAGGAAGGAAGACATATTCCCATTCAAATACAATCCAGAAAAACCTAGCTCTGCATTATTTCCTCAAGATAGCAATGTTCAAAAACTACTCTATGAGACAAGCAATCAAAACTCACAGATCTAACTCAAACAACAACTGAAATATCTCAAGGTCAGGATGATGCAACATCTCCTGATCTATTTGGTCAGTCAACTGAAGTTAGTCCAAAAACAGAATACTTGGATCAACAAAGTGAATCCGTTCAACTAGATCAACTTATTGACTCTCAACAACCAAGTATATCTTCATCCATTCCATATTCTCATATAAACTCTACCAATCAAAATGAGCTCAGAAAGTCACAAAGAGATAAAAGGCCACCTCTCTCGCTCCAATATTTTGTGTCTCTGAACATACATCAAGACACACCCTATGCATTATCAAAGTATGTCAGGTATGAAAATATATCACCCAAATATCAAGCCTATACAACTTCTATATCTTCAGTAATAGAGCTACCAACTATTCAGAAGCTGTCAAGGATCCCAGGTGGATAGAAGCAATGAAGGCTGAAATTAAAGCATTGCAAGATATTCACACATGGGACATTGTCAAATTACCAGAAGGGAAACATCCCATAGGATGCAAATGGGTCTATAAGATCAAATATAAAGCATCAGGAGAAGTTGAAAGGTTTAAAGCCAGATTAGTGGCTAAGGGATTTAGTCAACAAGAAGGAATTGACTATCAAGAGATATTTAGTCCAGTAGTCAAAATGAAAACAGTCAGAACAATACTTGTCATTGCTGCACAAAAACAGTGGCATATACATCAAATGGATGTATATAATGCCTTCTTACAAGGTGACCTTTATGGTGAGATATATATGCAGATTCCATAAGGCTTTAACAGTCAGGAGGAGAAGCAATCAGTGTGTCGACTAGTTAAATCCTTATATGGTTTGAAACAGGCTCCAAGGCAATGGAATGCTAAATTAACAGAGGCTCTACCAGAGTCAATTTGACCACTCTTTATTTTTCAAAAAGACTTCAGAAGGCACAACTATAGTATTTGTATATGTTGATGATATGCTCATCACTGGTGACAGCCTTAACTTGATACAAAACACCAAAGCAGCCTTACAACAAGCAATCAAAATGAAAGATTTAGGTGATTCATTAGTTTCCTGGAAATCTAAGAAACAAACTACTGTTTCAAGACGTTTTGCAGAGGCTGAATATCGAAGTATTGCAACTAAAGTAGCAGAACTAATTTTGATGATTGGCTTACTGAAAAAAGTTGATTTTCAAATCAAATTTCCACTTGATATCTACAGTGATAGTAAGGCAGCCATGCAAATTGCAGCCAACCCAATGTATCATGAAAGGACCAAACACATCGAAATTGATTGTCATTTCATTCGAGAGAAGATACTACACGGGCTTATCACAACTAAGTACATTCCTACTAGAGAACAACCACCAGACATCTTGACAAATGGACTCAACAAAGTTCAACAAGAATATCTCAGCTCCAAGATAGGAGTTTATAATATTTTTGCACCACCTAGCTTGAGGGGGAGTGTAGGAAATGATATTACATAATTAGATATCATACCCTTTACTAACTTACCTTCATATTTTTCACGAGGTCTTCCCTCTTGGAAAGATCTTTGCAAATTTAAAGTTATTATTTGCATCATATTCATGTAACAGACGCATGTATCCTCTTCTTTGGAGCTGCCCTCAACTTAGACCCCTAATTTATAACTATGTTGTCCAGTGATAACACGAAATTAGTTTCCTAAGTATTGTAACCATGTTCCAAACAATCACAGATAAATCAAAACAACGATAGTCTTTCATAACAAAAACTAAAAAGTAGCAATATTTTGTCCACGCCTGGCAATATGGTTAGAACGATTCAATGGCTCTCTAATATCAATCTAGAACCCTATAAGCATAAACATATTAGGCTTTTCAGTAACTTTTCAAGCATCATATCTAACAAGGACCCAATGAAAAGGCCAATTTGTTTAGTCACTATCTCAGATATGTAACTCAGATGAAGATCATGCACTTGAATCGACAACTCAGAATGAAGCAATTCCACTTGCTTCAGATCCTCCCTTTGTAGCATGTGTGATAACAAAAGATAATTATTGAAGGACCAGGGTGCTCCCTCAATAACATGCTGAATATCACGCTCATGGTTGAAGCAAAACAGGAAATACTAGCCTCCCAACTCCTTTATTTTCACATATCGCCCAAGTTTCCAGATACTTGCCAGAGTATTTTTTATTGCTCGAACATTGATAGATCTATATGTTTGCAATCTGCCTACCAGGCAAAGATTATATTAGTCTCCTTCGCGGCCTCTGGTTAATCCAATCCATCTAGCTCTTCAATTATATAAGAAATATCATCTATTTTAATATCCATCGCAAAGCCAAAGCAGTTACGAATAGGAAAAAAATAAAAATAACTATAGAACGCGAAAACTCATCAACTCACCCACAAAGACAAACACATCCACAAAGAGCAGACAATATCAAAGACATGCAACTTAATTCTTGTAAAAAAGATTAGATAGAAATCGCGGTGGCATAATGGTGAAACCGGGATGTTAATAGTAGAGAAAGTGTTGGCATCTAGGATTCTAGGTGGCGGCTCTAGGTATCAGGAAGAAGCTAGAGAGATGTAAATCTTTAATTTAAAATGTAAATTGTTTGTGAAGGCCTACATCATGCCTTTAGAAGTGGTATGTTTGGCTTGTTTACCACTTATTTGACATGTCTCGTCTTGTGCAGATTAGCTTGTTATGCATATAATAACAACATACTCGGTGTGAACCCACAACTGAGGTTTGGAGAGGATAAAATGTATGCATATCTTACCCTTACCTCATTAGAGGCAGCGAGACTATTTCCAAATTAACTTGTTATGTATAAGAGAGGAAATAACTGCCATATTTCTTTATTGTGCATTTAGTTCAATGTGGATGGACTCCGTCCATGCCAAACGACAGAACAAATGGTCTAAAGAACAATAGCAAATATACGAATCAACCTACTAGAGCCTAGAGTGATATGAAGATTATCGTACCAACATGTATCAGTGAGCTTTTTGCACTATTCTTTGTCTTAATTTTATATGAGAAATCAAATATTGTTATGAGAGATTACATCTCAAAAATATCTGGTACCTGTTCCTCAACCGTAGCAACTGGTGGCTTCGCAGGTGCTGCTCTGACTGTAGTAGGAGCTGCACTTCGGCCTCTACCGCGACCCCGACCTCTCGTGGCCCTAACTGGTGGTACTGATGATCATCCGCCTGATCCGTTCGCACGTGTCCTCACCATCTGTGAGAAAATAGAGGAGTCAAGTTTCGAGCTTCGAAAATAACAAATCTGCACGACAAAAATGCAAAGAAAGTAAAGTTTCCTAACAGTTTGGTAGCTTATCAAAGATAAGTACAAACGTCTCCGTACCGATCCGCAACACTCTACTAAAATTGCTCATGACTCGTGAGAGCTAAGCAACCTAGTACTCAAATACTAATTTGTCACAACCCAACTCTCTCCGAAGCCGCGACGACGCCTAGCACTACTTGCCAGGCAAGCCAAGAGTTACATAATAACTATGCATTTGAATAAAAATGGTTTAATAAACTTAACAAGGGAAATATCATAACTATCTAATGAAAATAATAACAATGCTGCTGCAAACCATCCCAACAATCTAGTGTCGATGAGTACATGAGCACTATTGAGTATCAAAATACAAATCAAATCCTCAAAACGATTATTTGGACAACAAACAGTAATAAGGGAAATAATGGAAAGAGAGTCACGGTCTGCGGACGATATAGTATGTACCTCGAAGTCTCCAAATACTGGTAACAACACGGCTCAAGCAACCACCACGTCCAAATGTACCTGGATCTGCACTTGAAGTGTAGAATGTAGTATGAGTACAGCAGACTCGCGATAGTATTTCGTCTTAGTCCTGACCAACTTGAAACCCTTAGACTCAAGGGCCTGTCTTAAAACCTCCAACCTCTCGTTAATACCTGCTCACGGAGTACAACCCACCACATGTATTCAATAAGTAACAAAACTAACCTTGGGCTGGAAGCAGTGACGAGCTCAAAAGAAGACAGTTAGAAATCAATATTAGTGACAACACAAATATAATGATGACATTAACAATAAATAATTTAAAGGAATTATCATAATCAGCTCGTTCACACTACATGAATTTAAACATGCTTTCA